CATACATCAGCAGTGAGCTATGTTGTATGAATGGGTGTACAGTGGGAATACAAGTTTCTCTGTCGTATTCCATCACACAGATGGTGCTCATACAAGGTGTCGAAATGTGTCAGTCTGAGCTGGGAGACTTCAGTAGTGTCAGTGAGGATATTGTCAGGTATTCCAACAAGGGTTCATCAGCAACGTCAGCTTCAAAGATTTCCTTCAAGCAGAGCTGGAGATACTCCTAGAGTTACTGATAAGAGTTACTAGAGTTACTGCTAGAGTTACTATCACTTGGGCACTTCAAAGGTTTCCTTCTAGCACTGCTAGTTACTATCACTTGGGAATCTGTCAGTGGGTGTTAATGTTGCAGTTTAAAAACTGAAGTGTAAAGCACCCGTCTGGCAAGACAGTGATGGAGTGAATGATGGTGAAAGTTTTTCTTTTTCGGGCCACCCTGCCTTGGTGGGAATCGGCCAGTGTGATAATAAAAAAAAATAAAACATATACATTAAAATAATCAAAAACAAGTCAAGTTCTCCAATAAACCACGTTGTCTTAATTGCTTAGGGTATTTGATGGTCAAAAAATAGATCCAGATGAATAACGTTGTTTCATTGAAAACTTACGCTGGTGGACGGAGTATAAAGCCTCCAGTATTCTTAATACTCACGTAATTTTAACGCTTCTCATAAATTATATACAATCACACGAATTTAGTGCTTCAATATATTAAAAAAACTTTTATGAAGATTGAATACTCCCAGGTTACATTACTGTCTTATAAGTAATTAATGGAGTTCATAACCGTACAAGAAACAAAGCTAGTTCAGCTCCCCTTCGACCCTAACAAAGTACATATAGTGCATGTATAATATCTGAACCTGTCCCAGACCGTCTTTCCTGACTCTGTAGTCTGAACCTGTCCCAGACCGTCTTTCCTGACTCTGTAGTCTGAACCTGTCCCAGACCGTCTTTCCTGCCTCTGTAGTCTGAACCTGTCCCAGACCGTCTTTCCTGCCTCTGTAGTCTGAACCTGTCCCAGACCGTCTTTCCTGCCTCTGTAGTCTGAACCTGTCCCAGACCGTCTTTCCTGCCTCTGTAGTCTGAACCTGTCCCAGACCGTCTTTCCTGCCTCTGTAGTCTGAACCTGTCCCAGACCGTCTTTCCTGACTCTGTAGTCTGAACCTGTCCCAGACCGTCTTTCCTGACTCTGTAGTCTGAACCTGTCCCAGACCGTCTTTCCTGCCTCTGTAGTCTGAACCTGTCCCAGAAACCCTCTTTCCTGACTCTGTAGTCTGAACCTGTCCCAGACCGTCTTTCCTGACTCTGTAGTCTGAACCTGTCCCAGACCACCTTTCCTGTCTCTGTAGTCTGAACCTGTCCCAGGCCACCTTTCCTGCTTCTGTAGTCTGAACCTGTCCCAGGCCACCTTTCCTGCTTCTGTAGTCTGAACCTGTCCCAGGCCACCTTTCTTGCTTCTGTAGTCTGAACCTGTCCCAGGCCACCTTTCCTACTTCTGTAGTCTGAACCTGTCCCAGGCCACCTTTCTTGCTTCTGTAGTCTGAACCTGTCCCAGGCCACCTTTCCTGCTTCTGTAGTCTGAACCTGTCCCAGGCCACCTTTCCTGCTTCTGTAGTCTGAACCTGTCCCAGGCCACCTTTCTTGCTTCTGTAGTCTGAACCTGTCCCAGACCACCTTTCCTGCTTCTGTAGTCTGAACCTGTCCCAGGCCACCTTTCCTGCTTCTGTAGTCTGAACCTGTCCCAGGCCACCTTTCCTACTTCTGTAGTCTGAACCTGTCCCAGGCCACCTTTCCTACTTCTGTAGTCTGAACCTGTCCCAGGCCACCTTTCCTGCTTAGGTAGTCTGAACCTGTCCCAGGCCACCTTTCCTACTTCTGTAGTCTGAACCTGTCCCAGGCCACCTTTCCTACTTCTGTAGTCTGAACCTGTCCCAGACCACCTTTCCTGCTTCTGTAGTCTGAACCTGTCCCAGACCACCTTTCCTACTTCTGTAGTCTGAACCTGTCCCAGGCCACCTTTCCTACTTCTGTAGTCTGAACCTGTCCCAGGCCACCTTTCCTACTTCTGTAGTCTGAACCTGTCCCAGGCCACCTTTCCTACTTCTGTAGTCTGAACCTGTCCCAGACCACCTTTCCTGCTTCTGTAGTCTGAACCTGTCCCAGACCACATTTCTTGCTTCTGTAGTCTGAACCTGTCCCAGACCATCTTTCCTGCTTCTGTAGTCTGAACCTGTCCCAGACCATCTTTCTGCTTCTGTAGTCTGAACCTGTCCCAGACCACATTTCTTGCTTCTGTAGTCTGAACCTGTCCCAGACCACCTTTCCTGCTTAGGTAGTCTGAACCTGTCCCAGATCACCTTTCTTGCTTTTGTAGTCTGAACCTGTCCCAGACCACATTTCTTGCTTCTGTAGTCTGAACCTGTCCCAGACCACCTTTCCTGCTTCTGTAGTCTGAACCTGTCCCAGACCACATTTCTTGCTTCTGTAGTCTGAACCTGTCCCAGACCACCTTTCCTGCTTCTGTAGTCTGAACCTGTCCCAGGCCACCTTTCCTGCTTAGGTAGTCTGAACCTGTCCCAGGCCACCTTCCCTGCTTCTGTAGTCTGAACCTGTCCCAGACCACCTTTCTTGCTTCTGTAGTCTGAACCTGTCCCAGACCACCTTTCTTGCTTCTGTAGTCTGAACCTGTCCCAGACCACCTTTCTTGCTTCTGTAGTCTGAACCTGTCCCAGACCACCTTTCTTGCTTCTGTAGTCTGAACCTGTCCCAGACCACCTTTCCTGCTTCTGTAGTCTGAACCTGTCCCAGATCACCTTCCTGCTTCTGTAGTCTGAACCTGTCCCAGACCACCTTCTTGCTTCTGTAGTCTGAAAACCCGTCCCAGACCACCTTTCTGCTTCTGTAGTCTGAACCTGTCCCAGACACCTTTCCTGCTTCTGTAGTCTGAACCTGTCCCAGATCACCTTTCCTGCTTCTGTAGTCTGAACCTGTCCCAGACCACCTTTCTTGCTTCTGTAGTCGGAACCTGTCCCAGACCACCTTTCCTGCTTTGTTGTCTGAACCTGTCCCAGACACCTTTCTTGCTTCTGTAGTCGGAACCTGTCCCAGACCACCTTTCCGCTTCTGTAGTCTGAACCTGTCCCAGACCACCTTTCTGCTTCTGTAGTCTGAAACCTGTCCAGACCACCTTTCTGCTTCTGTAGTCTGAACCTGTCCCAGACCACCTATCCTGCTTCTGTAGTCTGAACCAGTCCCAAACACCTTTCCTGCTTCTGTAGTCTGAACCTGACCCAAGCCCCCTTTCTTGCTTCTGTATCGGAACCTGACCCAGATCACCTTTCCTGCTTCTGTTGTCTGAACCTGTCCCAGAATCACCTTTCCTGCTTCTGTATTGAACCTGTCCCAGACCACCTTTACTGCTTCTGTAGTCTGAGCCTACCCAGACCGCGTTCCTTAATCTTATCGTCTAAAACTGTCCCAAACACTTTCGTATATGTGTATTGATGTCAGGAGCCTTTAATCGTAAAACTTCACCGCGCACAGAGAGAGAGAGAGAGAGAGAGAGAGAGAGGAGAGAGAGAGAGAGAGAGAGAAGAGAGAGAGAGAGCGAGAGAGAGAGAGAGAGATAGAGAGGACTAAAGGACGAACAACCAAAATGGCACAGACAACAACGAGGAACAGTCCACAAAAAGGCCAGACAACAAAAAGGCACAGACAACAAAAAGGCACAGACAACAAAAAGGCACAGACAACAAAATGGCACAGACAGCAAAAAGACAGACAACAAAGGACAGACAAAAAAAGGCACAGACGACAGAGACAGACGACAGAGAGACAAACGACAGACAGACGACAGAGAGACAGACGACAGACAGACGACAGAAACAGACGACAGAGACAGACGACAGAGACATACGACAGAGAAACAGACAACAGAGATAGACAACAAAGAGACAAACGACAGAGAAACAGACGACTAGACGACAGAGAAACAGGCGACAGACGACCAGACAACAGAGAAACAGACGAGAGAGACAGACGACAGACGAGGGACAGACGACAGAGAGACACGACAGAGACAGACAGTGAGAGTGATCTTCATGGATGTCTCCCAGGCACCTCGTTGGATCTTCATGGATATCTCCCAGGCACCTGGTTGGTCATTTCTGGTAGTTGCCAACCCTTGGCTCACCTGTCCTCCTCCCTTCCTCCCTCCTGCACCCGGGTATCACCCATTAATGGAAATACAATAAAATACATGAAACTTATAAGTATAGGTTTGTTTATATAATAACCCTTGGTAATAGCTACTCAATGTAGCTAGCAAAACCAGGCCTTTGTTACGTTGAGTAGAGAGAACGAGCATTATTACTTATGCATGGCATGTGTAATTGCTCGATAAATTGTTCCGGAACTAGGAAGTAAAACAGTTATGCAGTAGTGGGATTTATTAAGTTTAAAGCCTGTCGACTGCACAAGGAACAACACTAAGTTGCATATCACCTGTGTATAAAGAACACTATTTTTTAGAATAAGGAATGAAACTCTATGTGTATGTACACTGAGATATATACCTCTCAGCATATATACACTTCTGTATTATAGCATTTTTTCTTGCTTTTCTGAAACGAAACCAAATTTGAGTCACAAGTATTTATGTCCCTTGTTGGGCGACTCAACGTTTCTTTGGCGTCGAGAAGACTTTTAAAAATAGGCTGATGGTGTGAGCACAGAGCTGGTGTCAGGTTGACCCTGGAATGTGCCTCACTCCGCACATTTTTTATACACAATTGGCGCTGTTAGGCCCTTGGATGTGTGTGTGAGGGCGGCACTCTATGACCTGTGAGTGTATGTGAGAGAGGTCACCCTCAAAGCTGACATGTCGGCAACCCTCGTGGTACTCGCTTCTCAGGAAATATATGATCGCATATTAAGGTTCTTACGGTTAACTTCTGGAAATTGTCATACGTGTGTCAATGAGTTATTTAACTTACCGTACGGAGGAACGATACATCATCTTGTTCCGAAGAGCCTTCACTGTCCGCCATAATGACGCTTTATTCACAGCGATGAAAAATAAAAAAAACCCACTGACACTTTAAGTTCATAACACGGCGAAGGTGGGAGGGAGCGAGCAACCTTATTTCATGGTTGCGTTTACGAGGTGGTAACCACGAGAACTATGGTAGGAGGCACTGGGAGAGCATCAGCAGGAGGATGCAGGCTGCTGCAGTGGTCCTGCTGCCCAACCTCGCGCCCCGCACTAAACTTAGCTCAGGCGATGCCACATGGCACCAGATCCCTCACACACACACTACCACTATCTTACACTACTATACCTTATTATCTTACTTGTATCTTCCTTACCCTCCGCAAATATGCTTCATAAAATCCTAGTCTGTTAAATGAGACCTGTTTCAGGCGTAATTACCATGCCTATATCCCTCTATTAAACATAAGTATATCAAACTTAGCTTATAATCTTATATTACGCTATCTAATTAATACTGTCTAGTGAATATAGGTAACAGTCGGTGGTCTGTCATTTAAAACTCATGTATCCGTGATAAAGTAATTAAATTAACAAGGAAATAGATAAAATTATTCAGAGAGATTGATTTGCCAGATGAGGGAGGTGAAGGGAAGAGCAGCAGCAGCAGCAGCAGCAGCGGCGGCATGGTGGGTGCCTTCACGACACTCACACTGTAATATACATCTACTAACACAGCTAACACAAAGCAACATCATATCTCCAAGTACACGATTAACTTTCATTCATTGCAGGAGGTTAATATGAGGGGCGAGGGCAGTTGATAAGAGAGTGACTTCATTACAGTAGAAGAGGAGAGTGAGGATGTTGAAGGCTTTCGGTATATCCAGTAAACGTGGAGAAGTATTGTTTGCTTCACTCTGTATCCTTTTAGTGCTTCTCTAACTGTGTATGCTTCAGCAAATGTATCTCTATTAACTGAAGCTGTGTAAATCTAATGACTCGCAAGTTTTTTGAACTTACAGCTCCATATTAACCAATATTACAACTAAATGCGCTGTATAGTCCTTGTGGCTTAGCGCTTCTTTTTGATTATAATAATACAACTAAATGCATGTACATTCAGAAAGTTTATATGTAACTGGTTCTGTTTAAAGTAAGAACCATATTCTCTTTACATTATGCATGTTCCGTGTACAGTAACAGTATTATCCTTCCAGCAGGTGTTTACCTGATGTACTGTTACTGATGTAATGTTAGGTAACTGGGTGTTAGTTGTGTGTTGCATCCTGGGGGAGAGCTTTAAAGGACTAGTGGAAATAGACAAGACACTTACGACATACATAGTACAGGCACACAAAAGTCGTACACTTACACAAGTTTAGGTTACTTTAATAACCATACATAGTAATGTGTAAATTATTTAGGATAACGAGAAAAAATCAAAGGTGACTTAATTCCACTGGGAACCTGGTTAAAAATGCAAACAAAATCTAATGTTGCTAAATAAAATATAAGTATCCTTAACTAAACAATTAGTAACCCAGGATAATTCATTAAAGCCACTTAGTAGTTTATTTCCACTGGGATCAGTTTTTTTGGATCTTCCCCCAGGATGCAACCCACAAGAAGCGATTACCACAGGTATCTATATACTGCTAATAGCGCTTCTTTTTTATTATAATAATAATAACATTATATATGCTAAGGTAAAACCTCTTAAGGGAGGTTTCCCTTGATTTTTAGTGAAGGACCATTGATCCATGGAATTAGATCCCCCCTTTTTCCTTGGATAGACCCAAAATTAACTCCATTTCTCCCAGACACATTATGACAGGTTTAGCACTCCCCTCCATGCATAAAATAATACTGCTTGGCAAAGGGCAGTATGTGATAGATTTCCCAAATACAAGCTACTTAACTGAAGGTCCAAATATTGAATCAGTCTGAAATATTAATGCATATCTTTTTAAGCATTAGGATCCCCATATGTGTTGTATAATCCTATGGGTTTAGTGCTCCCATGTTTATAATAATAATCTGTGCATTTCTGTGTCTACAGAACAGTCAATACAAATATTAACCTAAAGCTCAAATGCAGTCTGGAGAGCTGTAACAGAACACAAGGACACAGTAAAAGGGAATAATTATTTCTTTGACATTCCATTGTATGTCCAATCTGTTTAAAAACTACATCCAGATAAAAGGCAATAATAGTAGTTAACTGCTTAAGAAATCCTACTTAACTGAAGATCATTGAATTGGTTTAAAATTTAAATGCATACTTCTAGAATTGTACTTATATTGAATTGTTCAATTTGTACGTTTAAGAGTTTGCTTAATCTGTGTAGTTCCTAGGCAGCCTTTAAGCATTAGGATTATTTTTCCTGAATTTGCACTGCATGTTAGGCTTTCTTTTATACCTAACAATATTTTATTACGTAAACTACTTCGTAAAGTGCTAAAATAAATAAAGAATTTGAATTTAATCCTTTCGCTGTCAGTTAACCTAGATGTACATAACCAAGGTCACTGTCACTCATGAAGACCCACACCTAATTCATAGCATCCTCAAATGTGCTGTGAGAGTCAAATTTTGGCCTACACAAGACAGAATGGATGTACACAGCATAAAAAAAAATCTCCTTTACACAGTGCATTATGGGAATGGTTAACTTCTGACCTTGTGTTTGGGTTAAAATAGTGACTGGGGAGCTTTCTAGAGTGGTTTTTGTGGCTTTATTGGCTGTTTTGTGGTGTCAATTGATATACAGAAAAATGTACAGTGGTACCTCGAGTTTCGAACAGCTCCCTACTCAAACAGTTATGTAAGTGTATATTTGTAAGTGCTTTTATAAGTGTATTTTTGGGGGTCTGAAACGGACTAATTTACATTATTCCTTATGGGAACAAATTCGTTTGATATTGGCACTTGAGCAGCATTCTGGAACAAATTAAGTTTGTAACTCGAGGTACCACTGTACGTACTATGAAATGGAGAAGATTCAGATTGGCAGTGGCCTGAAATAGGCCTCAATGTGGCAGAAATTGAAATTTTTGGCACTATTTTAAAAAAGGGGGTAGGGGACCCTTCCCCCTCTGACCAGTTTTATGGGTTTTTACTAGGACTTTTTACTGGGACTTTAACCATGACCAAACAGTTTTGATTATGGTTTATTAGCCAAGAAATAAGGAAAAACTTGGATGTTTTTGCAATGCTGGATTAAAAATGGAGAGCAAGTGTTATATAGGAGGCCTGGAGATGTGATTAATGGGCAGAGGAAAGGTTGCTTAAGTGGCTGGAATGCTTGCAGTGTTTATTTTGGAATTTATTGCAAATACCCTCTTGTGTAAAATTGTCCAAAGTACCGACTTCTGGATGCTGAAAAGGGTTATTCTGATGGTTGAATAGGCAGTTACTGTACTAGTGAAATAGCTGGAAGTGGGTTGTTTTGAGAATGGAATTCATCTACAATAAGCCTTAACCCTTTCAGGGTCCGTCCCGTAGATCTACGGCTGGTCGGTGAGTGTCCAAACCGTAGATCTACGCCAAAATTCTAGCGCCGTCAAATTTAGCGCAAAAGCGCTCATAGGCCTACATATGAGAGAATGGGTCTGCGCGGTGGGTGTGCGCCGTAAACAAAAAATCTAGGCGCCTGCATAGCATTGTGGGAACGCCGGCTCAGTCACCCTTGTTCACCATGTCTCGTCGCAAGTCAGCTCTGACTCCCCGGAAATTGGGACTCTCCTCTTCCTGTCTGATAGTTCTGACACTGAGGGAAGTGGAAATGAAAAACAAATTTCCCTACGGCTTTGATGAGTTAGTGACCGAAAATAATGACCAGGTTTATCGATAATAGTGCAGAAAACCCCCGACGATCCTCGACTTCTACCTCTGTGTGGGCACTCGTGACTCACGGTCGGTTGTTCCTAAACGTAAGAGAAAACTAATATTTTCCCGTGGCCTGCCTCTGACTTTCAGTAATGACGATGATTCTGACGTGGATTGTGATTTTATTGCGCTCGTGACGATCATTCGAGTAGTGATAGTGAGGAACATATTCACCAGTGAAGCGTCGGTATGTGGCGCCACCGCATGCGCTCGGGTAGTGTACCCTATGCTATGCCCAGGGGCGGAGTACATCCGTAGTACATCCCGGAGTACATCCCGTGGCCCTACACCCGTTTTAGGTAGTGATATTTAGGATGATGTGGCTTTCACTTTTGGGATGGATTGGGGCCCCAGACATCAGTGGATGGTGTTAGTGGGGCTGGTGGGGGTAGTGGCACCGCCATGCGTGACTCGCTGTGCCACGCGGGAACCCACGCTGCTGACTCGTCATTCAAGGGCAAAGCGGAGCGTCACCCCCACCAGCCCGCCACAACCAACCCGTACAAACCAGCCTATGATGTCCAGTATCCACCAGCAAACCTATCTGGGATTGGCAGCAAAATCCCAATTTTGTTCCCAGCCCTCACCACTTTGATTGACTCGCAAAGTGGAATTTCTACCTACCTGTCCCCCTTTGGGAAACCCGGCCAATGAACTGGAATTCTTTGAATTATTCTTTGACCAGCCATTGATGGAAACTATTGTCAGGGAAAGTAATAAGTATTTTCAGTACACCATGGCAAATACGATCTTATCACCACAGTCAAGACTACACAGGTGGAAAGAGACGACTGTTGCAGAAATGTATTTGCTTTTTGCAACAATAATGCTTATCCCCACGTCTATAAGCATAATATAAAAGCATACTGGTCCACAGATCGGCTAATTTGTACCCATCCTTCAGTGAAATAATACCAGTGAACAGGTTTATCTTTCTCTTACGTATGTTGCACTTCTCTGACAAAACCAGGCCTGACGAAGTGACAGGTTATACAAGATAGAAATGTTTTTATGTATCTCAAACAAAAGTTCAGGATATACTTTTATCCATTCAAGAATCTTGTAATTGACGAGTCTTTGATTTTTTTCAAAGGTAGACTGTCCCTTCCCAAACAGTATATACCGAGCAAGAGGAACCGCTTTGGTATAAAATTGTTTGTACTCTGTGATTGTGACAGTGGCCTGGTGTTGGATATTGTTGTATACACGGGTAGTAAAACATTTAAAGATACCAAGATGTTATTGGGTATATCAGGTGACGTAGTGAGAAACATGATGGCACCTTATCTTGTTTAAGGGCCTACATTATATACCGATAACTGGTACACAAGCCCATTACTCAGTGATTTCATGCGAGTGACAAGACTAGATGTGTGTGGCACAGTGCGTTCTAATCGTAAACATAGCCCAGGCTCAACGCAGGTTTTCGTGGTGATGAAAGTGCAGGTGTTTACTGCCAATGACATCATGGCATTAAAGGTGCCAAAGACAAACAGATGTCACATTGTTGACAACCATTCACCCGTAATGAAATGCAAGACAGTGGCAAAGTTTGATCGAGGGGACTAATGAACGTATTCGAAAACCAGTGACAGTGATTGATTTTTACACAAAACATGCGCTTTGGTTGACAAGTGTGACATGCAGATTGGTTTTGTTGACTGTGTTTTGTAAGAGTTACAAGTGGGACATGAAACTTTCTTCCATCTCATGGACATTTCAATGCTGAATGCATATAATATGTACCAAATAAAGACTGGTAACAGACCACCGTATGGTGAATTTTGTTTGTCTGTTGTCAGACAACTCATAATGAAGTACCAGGTAACAACACCTGCAATACAACATGGTCCTCGAATTCATCACAATATACCCAAGCGTTTGAGAAGAGAAGGTGATCATTTCATAATACAGCTTCCTTCAACTCAAAAGAAATTTGCTCAGAAGAGATGCATTGTCTGTGCACAAACAAAAAGACGGCAAACAAAGACGCAAAGACACTCGGTTTATGTGTGAGGAATGTAAGGTGCCTCTGTGCATGGTGCCTTGTTTCAAGGGGTTCCACAAGCTCCAGCAGTTCTAAAACCATTGTCCAGTGATTTTAAATATGTAAATATATGATAGAACATTAGTAAAATTTTACAATATTTGTGCATGTTTATTGTAAAAACAACAGTGGTAAACAATAATAGATAAAACTTTAGTGCGGTTATTGTGTTCATACAGTGAGTTTATATATATAAATTAATACAGTATTGGTCTCTCAGGCCCCCAAAAGTTAGTAGGAATAGAAAAAAATTGGAAAAGAAAAGAAAAAACAAATAAAACAACAAAATAATATAATACCGTATGTGGAATTTCGTCGATGTTGCCGCCCCACATCATTTTTTTACAAATTTTGGCCTGTATCTGGGTAAGTACTGATCGATTCTAATTTTTTTTGTTTTATTACCTTCAAAAAAATATCCCTTTTTAAATTCTGTAAAAAAAAAAATTTTTTTTTTTAAAAATTTTCTTGACACTGGGCGTGATTTCAGATTTTGGCCTTGGACCCTGAAGGGTTAGGTTGAAAAGGAAAAGGGTTTGGTCTTTCTACTTCCAACTTTGGTTTGTGTATCAATGAAAGTTTGTGTTGTTGGTGTATTCCCCCCTTGGAAAAGATTCTCTATCATTTTAGAAATTTTTTTTTTTTTTTTGTTTTTAAAGTTGCCGACACGGAGAGTTCAGTTTGGAGGATTAAAAACTGAAGGGGGTTTTTAATGATCTTCAGTATTTTGACAGACTTTTTTTTTTAAAATTTAAACCCCTTTTAAAGGGTCCAAAGAAAATTATAGTTCCTTGCACGCGCCCCAAATATTTTGAAAAAAAAAATTTTTTTTTTTTAATAAAAAAAAAAACAGCACAAGGTACTAAGGGGTCCCAAATTTTTTTTTAATATGGTGCACCCCAAGTGTTAAACCCATTCTGGGTGACCAACATCTCAGGGCAATTGTGCCAAATTTGGGGGCAGGAAAAAAAACGTATATATATTTTGGGCATTTGGGTTAAAAAATTTGAGGCTTCCATTTTTATTGTACAGTATCTGGTATCTGACAACCATATAAGGCCAAATGTTTTTTATAAATATTTGACAATAACTCACTCAGACCTTAACCCTTTGGGTTTTTTTGGCGTACTGACGCTTACGGTGGGGTTTTTTTGACGTACTTCTAAATAATTCTAGCGACCTCAAATCTAGGGGGAAAAAGCGGGTAGGCCTTTCATAGAAAGAAGGGGGTCTATGTGGTCAGTGTCCGTCAAAAAAAAAATCCTGCAGCACCGGTGCATAATGAAAAAAAAAAAATTTTTTATTTTTTTTTAATAAATCAGGATTTTGCGTGTATTTTCGAAAAAAAATTTTATTGTTGTATTCTAGTTTTTTTGGGCTCATTTTATAGAAATGGAAGACATATTACGAAATTTTGATGATTTTGACTGGGTTTTTTAATGAAAGGGGGGGCCCTTTAAATTGGCTCAAAGTACAGAAATGTTCGTTTTTTTCCAAACTTCAAAAAATAAACAAATCGTGCCAAGCGTGCAATACACGTCAACTGGGGTTAATATTCTTTCACAAGTGCACCAATAATATTTTTTAAACCTTTTTTTTCCTAAGCAGAGTCCATAAACAGTAAATCTTAATTTTTTGTGAAATAAAAATTTAAAATGAAAGCAAAAAAATAAAGAGGGGCCTTTAGACGGGCTAAAGCTAAGAAAAAGTCATTTTATGCCAGGAATGTCTTTCTTGTTTATTCTGGGCCCCATTCCGAAAATTTGGGATCTTTTTTAAAATTTTTGTGAAATTGGCAAAAATTTCTAAATCCCGACCACGACTGGGTAGTTGAATTTTTAAATGGGGGGTTTCTTGCACCCATTCGTAAAAAAAATGGGAGTTCTAGGAAATATTCATGTTTTTTGTCGACTGAAACAGGAAATTGGCCGAAAATGGGGCTCAAAGTGGGCAAAAACGCCGACCCGTAAACATCCCCGAACCGCTAACTTTGCGAGAGCATAATTCCGTAATTTTCTATAAAATTTTTAAAACTTTTGGTGTCGTTATGATCGGGAAAAGTTTCCTTCTTTTATAAGAAAAATAATTTTTTTTTTTTTTTTAATTTTGGCCGACCCTGAAAAACGATTTCGAGGGGGCCCTGTCGACCTCAAAGGGTTAATTTTACCCCCCAAGTACAATAAATCATCTCAGCCCCTTAATTACCCAACAAAAGCGCATCAGAATGATGAAAATTTCCCCCCAGGAGCATACCCACCAATATTCAAAAAAAAACCACCATAAAAAAAATCCAACTTATTATGTCCCTACTACATACATAGAAAAAAAACCCTCCTTTAAAAAACCCCCCCCTCAAACTTCCCTTCCCACCTCAACAAACACAGACCTAAAAAACACAATCACTCTTGATTTTCCCCGTGCCCTCTCACACTATGTAAAAGCTAAATTTCACTAAAAGGCCAAAAATCTGGAATTCATTAAACCTGTGAATATAAAAAAAAATACGTCTTTTATAGTTAAAGACTCTTTAAAAACCATTTAAACCACAACAAAAATAATACTGAATAACTTATTCATAAATGTATAACCGTGACCCATCAAAATAGTTTTTTTTAAACTACATTACCTAAAAGAATACTACTCCTCTCTTGAATCACAGTAACTCACTAATGACCTAGACATGTTTCTGCACTACAAATCTTTTGTTTTTACTGATTTGATTCGATTATTTATACATTGTTATGCTACAAAATTTTTTCAACTTTAATGCTTCTTTTTTGAAATACCATTTGTACTTCATGTTGTATTTTGTTTACTGTAATTTTTAAAATGAATTATCATTGCTTAGTTAATCTTAAGTTAATTTAAGCCTGCCCCTAATGTCTGCATACAAGGGGCTTTTTGGCATTTCACCCCCAAACACTAAAATTTTTTGTACAATATGTATCATGTCCAAATAAAATTAAATAAAAAATAAAAAAAGGTTGTTTTTTCATATTTTGAGTAACTTCCTTAATTTTAAATTTTTAAATTTTAGATTGTGATTTTTATTTTTTTAAAAGAAATACTTCCCTTTCAATGTTAATCTTTGAAGCCAACTGACAAAGGCTATCTTTTATCCCTTTTTTACGGGAAATTTTCATCCTCGCCCCATGGAGATCCCCCACCCGCTTTTGAAGTGGTGCTGATGCAAGGTTAATTTATTTTGTTGCTTCAAGAGTTTGTGATTAATTTTGAAATAAAAGTGGCCATTTCCTCCCCTAGCAGAAATCCTTTTAGTAAAGTTGCATTTTTCAAAGGGTTTTTTTAATAAAAAAAAAAAAAACAAAATTGCTGTCAGAAAATAATTTCAGTTAGTGGGAAAAAATGTTTTTTGGAATTTATATACTCAGGAAGGAAGGGAAAATAAAATAAAGGGATTCGGGAAAATCTATGGTATTCCAGCAAAAATGTGAACCCTTTAAAAACCCGTGGGACAGTGAGGAACATAAATCACATTGCTGCCACAGTTTAACACACTACATTAGTTTAAATTATGGTAAGCAGAGTAAATTATTATGTTAAATATAATTTTTCGTTGGGATTATGATTTCTGAATAATTAATTGTCATCATTTTCTGTTGTAAATGAAATAAAGACACATTATAATTATTAAGGGCTTAAGTAATGTAGTGTTTCTGGTAACTGATATTATTAGGTTTTAAATTATTTTTATTCATTGCAGAGCAAAGATGGACAGAACTATGTGTATGTGTTCCGTGATGACCTGTACTGGGTATGTGTGGTGGGCAAGGGTGGCCTGCTGCACCAGTGTGGGCATCTCCTGATAACGGAGAGTTTGTGCCAGCTACACCGTGTGTGTTCTGTCCTGTGTGGGGCTCTAACTCAGCACAGCATCACAGCCAATGCACCACTCATCACTGAAGTGGTGCATGAAACAATGGTATAATGACAGTCCTAGTAGGGTGTGGGTGTCCCTTGTTTCATACTGTAGATGTGTTCCAGGTCCTTGGAATTAGTTGTAAGCTCAGTCAGGCTACAAATGCAAAATTACACATAAAAATCTTCATAATGCTCTTGGAACTGTGCCAATCCATAAAGCAAATGTAAACTGCATATACATGTACTGAGTTACTGATAAAAATAGGACATTGCATAATAGTGAATTTGCATAAAGTGAGGGAGACCTGTGTATCATATAGCAAGTAGTGCATTATGTCAGTAGCAGTCCTGGCATTTTTGGTGCCATAGGGCAGATGACAGATGCAAAGGTGACCCCTCTTCCCTTTCCTCACACATCAGTAACACACCTTCCCCCTGCTGCATAACCTCTGCCACAATAAAACACATTGAACACACACTGTCTTTAAAACATAAAACACTACCTTCATTTATTGTTCTGATCTTCAAGTAAGAATGAGTTGTCTTCTAATAAACCTCATCTTTCTTGTCTTCCTTTTTGAAGGATTTAATGTATGATCCACACATGACAGAATTGATCCTCCTGGTCTTCCTTGTTGGAAGATTGAATGTATGAGCCAAACTGATACAAATAGAGCCCTTGAATTCTCTTCCACCTGTGAATATGATGTCTCATTTCTTGGTCAGATTTTACCCTGAGCTAAACTTCTTTTAAGAAGTTACTGTTTGATGGCATCTACAGTGTTTTTGTGTGTTGAGCATGCTGTGTCGCTCTTCACTACCAATTGGCACTCTAAGTACCACCTGTTCCAGGCTTCAACTGTTGGCACTTATTCTGCTTATGCCATGTCCAAGATGGCCACTTCATTATGTAGATGATACCCCATAATATTATTTTAGTATTCAGTCCTTCATATGAAAGGGTTGTCTTGATGCTAATGATGAGCACTTGATCCAAGGAATTAGAGCTAATCTCCCCTTCCTTGGATTAAACCTGATTACCACATATTCTTCAGACACTATATAATTAATAATAATAATAATAATAATAATAATAATAATAATAATAATAATAATAATAATAATAATGATGATGGTGAATGTTTCCTACTGTGGGTCACCCTACCTTAGTAGGGTGGTACACCTTTAGTAGATTAAAGGTAGCTACACACTGCTAGGAAACCTACTGTGAGTTTCGTTAAAAAATAAAATCACATTTACCCTCATTCATCGGTTTAAAAAAATTTTTTAGGCTCTTGGTATGTTGTGTTATACTGTGTGTATTTTCCTGTAATAATCTTTGCAGAATGGTGGGTTTATGCAGCTACAAACAGCAGATAAGCTACAGTCTCATATTTACAGTACTGTTGTGTCAGCCAAGGAAAGTTGTGCTCTTATTGCTGCTCCAGGACTGGTTAGTGTCTTTGTTAGCATTCATTATTGTCTGTATTTAATATGTAAGGAGGGAATTTATAATTACAGTATTTCAGGTAGTGAGCATTAATTGAATATGGGAGCCTTTATTATAAAAGGTGAAAATAGAAATGGTTGACATGTGAAAACTAAGCAAGAAATTATTATCAAGTTTAGAAAATAATTATATATTATGAGAGCAGTAACTGAAGGATGGAGGGGTAAGGGGTCATGCCAAGAAGAGTTGGAGAGAGAAAGGTTTGCAGTACTAGGGCTTTGCAACCAATAGGCATTTGTGGGGATGTTGGATTAAAGTGAGAGGAGACGAGTGTTTTTTTGTTCTTATGAACTGTTGGAATGTGAGCAAGGTAATATTTTATGAAGGGATTCAGGGAAGCCAGTTAACTGTACTTGAGTCCTAGAAGTGGGAAGTACAGTACCTTCACTCTGAAGTATAGGTGAGGACATTGCACGTCAGAGGGTCATTTAAAGTGCAAGTAAGTAAGTAAGTAAATTTATTCATGTATACACAAATACAGTTACATAGAATTATCATACATAGCAGCATATGTGTGATGTCTGCACACCTTACAAGACATCCATTGAATGTGTTTCCTTTTTTTGATTCATCATACATTAGTGGTAGATGACCTGTGTGTTAAAAAAATACTGGTAGTAGTATTTAGGTTTGATAGAAGTGACTCACCCCAAAATTTTAGCAGTGGATGAGTTCCTGTTTTTTTTTTTAATCTAGAAAAGTATAATTGTAAATGGACATGCAGGAGCAAGATTAACAAGTTGGAAAAATATATTTTAAAATTGTAGAGATTAATATTATATTATTTGTCATCTGTTTTGTGCATATCTAGGAATGGGGTGATACTAGAATTTTTGCTGATACTGATACTCAGGAATGCAATTACAGTGTGACTAAAACTGCTAATATATATATGTTTTATTGATAAAAAAAATAAAAATTCTAATATTTTAAAATTGCTAACTTTTTTTCTAATGACCATATACATGCCATCTCTCACTCAGTATAGTTATTGTTGAGGAATTAAGACACTTGCAACATGGGCATCTTTATTTGAAGATGTTTAGCCAACCAGTGGCTTTATCACTTCAGTAAAAAGATGATATACAAAGACAACAGAGGTTGAGGTAATCAGTCCCCAGGCTTATCTTCTGTGTACATGTCTGCATGGCTGAGGGACTGGTTATGTCAACTTCTACCATCTTCACATATATCTATATTGAATTGCAAAAGCCACTGGTTGGCAAAAAAGTCTTCAAATAAAGATAGAGTGGACCCCCGAGTTGCGTCGGCATCGACTTTCGTGAAATCCGACTTTTGGCAAGTTTTTTTGGCAAAATTTAGCCTCGCGGTTCGTGATTGGACTCGTGATTTGGCAACCGTCCGGTACCCATCCGCCCGTCACCATGCACACAAAGCCAGTCTCCCACACCATTCACACTCAGTGTGCCATTGTTTACCAGCATGTGACCATCACCCCGCGGGTTCATACAATACATTTCATAATAATCCATTGTTTTTTCTGCTTGCAACTGCTAAATAAGTCACCATGGGCCCAAGGAAAGCTAGTGCAAGCCCTTTGGTAAAGAAAGTGAGGAACACGATCGAAGTCAAGAAGGAAATCATTGAAAAATATGAGAGCGGAGTACGTGTTACAGAACTTGCCAGGATGTATGGCAAACCTCATTCAACCATCACTTCGATCGTGGCCAAGGGAAAGGAAAGAAAGTGTGCTGTTGTTGCAAAAGGGGTAGATATGCTGACAAAAAAGAGATCGCAAATCCTCGAAGAAGTGGAAAGGTTGTTGTTGGTGTGGATTACCCAAAAACAGTTAGCAGGAGATAGTATTATGCAGTCTATAATATGTGAAAAGGCAAGGCAGTTGCATGACGATCTCGTAAAGAAAATGCTTGCAACAAGTGGTGATGCTTGTGATTTTAAGGCCAGCAAAGGTTGGTTTGAGAGATTTAAGAAGCGTAGTGGTATTCACAGTGTGATAAAGCATGGTGAGGCTGCCAGTTCTGACAAAAAGCAGCTGAGAAGTTTGTACAGGAGTTTAAGGAGTGCGGAGACACTGGAGAATTCAAACCCCAGCAAGTGTTTAATTGTGATGAAAAGGCCTCTTTTGGAAGAAAATGCCAAAGAAGACCTACATCACGCAGGAGGAAACGGCACACCCAGGACACAAGCCTATGAAGGATAGGCTTACTCTCATGTTTTGTAGTAATGCTAGTGGGAATTGCAAAGTGAAGCCTTTACTGGTGTATCACTGAAAATCTCAGTGTTCAAGAAAAACAATGTCACCAAGAGTAATTTGTGTGTGATGTGGAAGGCTAACAATAAGGCATGGGTCACAAGGGGAATTTTCCTAGACTGGTTTAATGAAGTGTTTGGCCCCAGTGTGAAGAAATACCTCCTGGAAAATAAACTGCTACTCAAGTGCCTCCTGGTAATGGACAATGCTCCTGCTCATCCTCCAGACTTGGAAGAGCAAATAATGGAGGAGTTTAGTTTCTTCACGGTGAAGTTCTTGCCCCCTAATACAACTCTCATCCAGCCCATGGACCAGCAGGTCATTTCAAACTTCAAAAAACTGTACACCAAAGCAGTGTTTCAAAAGTGCTTTGAAGTGACCTCAGACACTGAATTGACCCTAAGAGAGTTCTGGAAAGATCACTTCAATATCCTCAGTTGCATAAACCTTATAGGTAAGGCTTGGGAAGGAGTGACTTGCAGAACTTTGAATTCGGCTTGGAGAAAATTGTGGCCAGAATGTTACAAGAGAGGGATTTGAAGGGTTTGGGGCTGACCCTAAGGAGCCTATCCCATTGTGGAATCTATTGTGGCATTGGGGAAGTCCTTGGGGTTGGAGGTAGTGGTGAGGATGGGGAAGAGTTGGTGGAGGACCAAAAGGAAGAGCTAACCACTGAAGAGCTGCAAGAGCTTCATCTGCAAGAGCAAGAGATCACAGCTCAGGATATTGCTGCAGAGGAGGAGGAAGAGAGATGGAGGAAGGTGCCTTCTTCAAAGATTAAGGACATTTGTGCAAAGTGGACTGAAGTGCAAACATTTATGGATGAACTTCACCCTGACAAAGTTGTTGCAGGCCGTATTGGAAACATTACATGACAGGTTTTTGTCCCACTTCAGACAAATCTTAAAGAAACGCCAGCTCTCTGGACAGATATTTTGTGCGACAGGGGTCCAGTGACTCTCAAGTTGTTCCCAGTGTCTTTGAAAAACAAAGAAGGGAAATAACCCCAGATTAGGACTTCGTACCTGAAGTCCTAATGGAAGGAGATTTTCCTTCCAAACAATAGTGTACACCTTCCTCCTATCCCCTCCTACTGTCTTCCATCCACCCAGAAGTCTTCAGTAAAGGTAAGTGTAATGTTGTTATTAATTTTTATATGTATGTACAGTGGACCCCCGCATAACGATCACCTCCGAATGCGACCAATTATGTAAGTGCGTTTGTACGTGTATGTTTGGGGGTCTGAAATGGACTAATCTACTTCACAATATTCCTTATGGGAACAAATTCGGTCAGTACTGGCATCTGAACATACTTCTGGATTGAAAAAATATCGTTAACCGGGGGTCCACTGTACTTGATTTCTCATTTTTTCAGTATGTAAATCTTTATTTGATATGAAAAAAATATTTTATTTTAATATTTTTTGGGTGTCGGGAACGGATTAATTTTATTTTCATTATTTCTTATGGGGAAAATGGTTTCGCCATTCAGCAATTTCGACATTCGGCAGACTCTCTGGAATGGATTAATCACGAAACTCGGGGGTTCACTGTACCTAGATGTTGCGTCATGTGTGTCTAATTCCTCATCATCTTGTATACAGTTATTGTAATGATATATAGTGTTGCTCCATTTACTTACAGCACATTTTCGTCTTGTGCGATACTACATACATTTCGAAGCTCCTTCTGAGTCTTGTTTATACAAGAGTAGGGAGAAATTGTTAGTGTATAAAATATATACGTACATTAGCAGTATACATGTTTTAGTAAGAGTAGGAAGAAATCTTAAGTGTTGAATATATATTAGAAGTATATATTTCTCATACAGTGTTTGGGGAATGGGAGGATACTGTATGATCCTTGTGGGTTTAGAGCTTCCCCTGATTCGAAATGTAATAATCACTATAATGCAAAACTGTTGCTGTTTTGTTCTCAGTTTGGGTTGGAGAAGTCTGCCCCTGGGATAGCCTCACAGCAGTCAGTCCTTGCTGTGGACACTGGCAAGAGAGAGGTAAGACTTACACCACAAACACTATTTCAGGAGATGTTGCAGTTTCAAGTGTTTGATGCTGTGAAGTCTCCCTCATGAATGTACCTATAACTTCATATTATGTGTTGGAAAAATGAAGTATGTGAAGGGAATGTTGACAGTGGCCTGGATGCATGAGAGTCATTTCTTGTCATGCTGGTTCATAGTTTTGGCCTGGCTGCATGAGAGCCAGTTTTTGTCAATCTGGTTCATAGTCTTGTCCTGGCTACATAAGAGCCAGTTCTCATCATTCTGGCTCATAGTCATAGCCTGACTGCATGAGAGCCATTTCTTGTCATGCTAGTTCATTCTCCATTTTTCTGGCAGGTGTAATTATTAATCCATTCAGTGGCCATCATGTAGATCTACATTACTGATGCTAGGGTCCCTCACATGGATCTACGTTTTGAGCTCAGGTCACTCAGATAAGCTGTAAGTAGTAAATTTTGGCCTAGATATGAGAATGGGTCTCTGGTGAGTGTGCACCATAAAAAAAAATTCTCTGCTGTAATTTTTTTTTTTTTAAATAGGACACTGGGAACAATATTAATTTCTAGGGTCTGGACAGTGAAAGTGTTAAAGCAGTAGAAAGCTTTTATGTGGATGGCGAGTGGCAAATTAGGGAATGTAGGAGAAAGGGAGATTATTTTCCAGTAAAAGCATGCCTTAGACAGGCATGCTGGATGTCACCGTGTTTATACAGCATATTTATAGTTGGGGTTATAAAATAAGTGAATGCTAATGTGCTAGGGAGAGATGTGGTATTAAAAGATGATGAATCAGGTACAGTAGAGCCCCACGTATACAGCAGGTTATGGTCCAGGCTACTGCCGGAAAGCAGACATCGCCAGAAAGCAGAACGCCATTTCTTCCATTTATATATATTAAAATGTATTTGTAGTCTTAATGTAGGGCAAAAGGTGAGTAGTATTTACTGTAAAAAGTCAGGTGTGGTAGCCCTCTTGGCCACCCCACCCACACATAATATACTATGATGCTTAAAGCTCCCTAGAGTAATAAAATGCATATACAGGACACTCATTACTTACCTTAAAATATTTGTAGTCTTAATGTTCTTAATGTAGGGTGAGAGGTGAAAAGTATTTATTTGTAGAAAGTCATGTGTGGGAGGTAGGGAAGGGTAGCCCGCCTGGCCACCCCACCCACTATGTAAACAAATGGACGAAGCTTCTCGTTATGGTTTATAAACATTCGTACAAACAACATACATTGTGTACAAGTTGTCTCCACAGTGGTACAGTAGAATAAATAAAGACCAACACTTCCATTCTCACGTAATTTTTAGAAGGAATGTTGCTCTGACAAATTATTATTATTATTTCTTTCTTTCAACACATTGGCCGTATCCCACCGAGGCGGGGTGGCCCAAAAGGAAAAACAAAAGTTTCTCCTTTTACATTTAGTAATATATACAGGAGAAGGGGTTACTAGCCCCTTGCTCCCGGCATTTTAGTTGCCTCTTACAACACGCATGGCGTACGGAGGAAGAATTCTGTTCCACTTCCCCATGGAGATAAGAGGAAATAAACAAGAACAAGAACTAGAAAGAAAACAGAAGAAAACCCAGAGGGGTATGTATATATACGCTTGTACATGTATGTGTAATGTGACCTAAGTGTAAGTAGAAGTAGCAAGACGTACCTGAAATCTTGCATGTTCATGAGACAGAAAAAAGGACACCAGCAATCCTACCATCATGTAAAACAATTACAGGCTTTCGTTTTACACTCACTTGGCAGGACGGTAGTACCTCCCTGGGCGGTTGCTGTCTACCAGCCTACTACCTAGGATTATTATTATTATTGTTATTATTATTATTATTATTACAAATTATTATTACAAATTATTATTATTATAATCATAATAAAAAAGAAGCACTAAACCCACAAGGATCGTGAATAGCTATACATAGAGTGAAAGTATACAAAAGTAACAAATTTCTAGTTAAGTTACTGGTGTTTGACTAGGGAAAATGGAATTCTTCCGACCCTCCCACCAACCGCTTGGTAAACAAATCTTATATCAGTTTTTATATTGTGGCTGTATGTATCATGTTTATATGTTATGTAGCATGTTTATTATATAATTTTGAAAAAAATATTATAGATGGATTAATAGAAATGTCTGTATTAGTGTAATATACGACATTTAATGCACCCAAGAGATTACATGTATTATTATTAATATGGCGTCAAAAGTAGAGACACTCTTAGCGATTTTAATGTGTACCTGCACTCCAGCACATTGTGTAAGTATGTTTAGGTACAGGTACACAAGTGTAAATATCAGAGTACATATAAAATATGCAATAACTTTAAACACTTGAAATATGCAATAACTTTAAACACTTGAAATTTTGGAAAATTTCCAGACATAATAGAGATATGTGCTCATGGAGAATATAAACAAACCAGGTGGGGCACGCTGTATTTGAAAAACTGCTCGCTGTTTAGCAAATTTTGGTCATAATTTGAAATCACCATATTAGCGGAACTCCGTAAGGTGAAACGCCATAAAGTGGGGCCCTACTGTACTGGGAGTTGTCATAGTTTGCCAGTGTCATGATGCTTTTGGAAGATTCTGATAAGAAGTTGCCATGGTAAACGAATGTAGGAGGGCATGTAAAAGAAAGAAATTAAAAGTAGGAGGAAGTAAATGTGTTCAGATATTTAGGAATGGACTTACTGGCAGATGCTTCTGTGAGAGACGAGGAGAACCATAGAATTAATGAAGGGAAAAAGGGGGGTGGCGCATTGATGCATCTGTGGAGACAAAGAACTTTACCCATGAAGGCAAAAAAGGGAAATGTGCCAGAGGGTTGTGGTATCAACATTATTGTATGGGTGTGAAGCATGGGTTTTGAATGTTGCAGCAAGGAGGAAGCTGAAGACAGTAACAATATTGTGTTTGAGGGCAATGTGTGGGATGATTATTATGCAGAGAATTCATGGTTTGGAGATTAGGAGATGTGGAGTTTCCAAAAGTATTATTCATAGTGCTGAAGAGAGAGAGGATGGAGAAGAACAGGATGACTTAGGAGGGGCTTGTAAATCAGGGGTGTGAGGGGGGAGGAGGAGGTAGGGGTTCTCCTAGGAAAGGTAGGAGGGAGAGGGGTAAAGGAGGTTTTGAGCACTAGAGGCCTGGACATCAAACAGGCTTGTGTGAGCATGTTAGATAGGAGTGTGTGTGGAGGCAAGAGTTTTTATGATTTGAAGTGTTGTTGGAGTATGAGCATGGTAACATTTATGAAGGGATTCAGGGTCAGAATTTTGTTTTGGAGTTGGAAAGTACAGGGCCTGCACTGAGAAAGAAGGGTGGGGATGTTGCAGTGATTAAGTGACAATGAGTGTTTTCTTTGTTGGATCACTACTTCTGTGTGAGATGGCCGGAGGATTAAAAAAATAAAAAGAATGTTTTAGATAAATTTTGCTGATTTTTGTCTGTACACGACTCGTATTTTTTCATTATGAATTTACAGGCTAATACTTGTTTTCCCACCTCAGCTAATTTCAAACCCAGCCCTCTCTGTAGGCAACTCACAGCAGTTAGCTAACATTCAGGTACCTATTTAATGATAGGTGAACAGGGGTAACAGATATAAAGAAATACCAGGCATTTCGCCTTGCTGCGTTCCGCTAGTATGGCGATTTCAAATTATGACCAAGACTCCCTATACGGCAAGCAGTCTTTCTAATACGGCGCACCCCACCTGGTTTGTTTACATTTTCCGTTAGCACATATATCTATTATGTCTAGAAACTTTCCAAAATTTCAAGTGTTTTGAAGTTATTGCATATTTTATATGTACTCTGATAATTATACGTATGTGTACCTGTGCCTAAATACACTTACACACTGTGCTGGCGTGCAGGTACACATTAAAATCACTAAGAGTGTCCCTTTAGTCTTAACACCATAGTAATAATACTAATACGTAATAATAATGACTTTTGGCACATTAACCCTTACAGAGTCTAGAGGCCAAATTTCAAAGTGTGCACCAGTGTCCAAGAATTTTCAAAAAATAATCTTGTTAATTTTTCTTATGAAATGGTAGAGAATCTTTTTGTGAAGGTAATAAAACAAAAAGTATGAAATTTGATGGAAAATTGACGAAATTATGCTCTCGCGAATTTTGATGTGTCAGCGATATTTACGCATCAGCGATTTTGTCGACTTTGACTCCCATTTTAGACCAATTACATTATTCTAGTCGACCAAATTCTTAGCTATTTCACTAGTATTACTTCTATTCTATTGATTGAGCACAAGAATTCGCCAAGTCAGCTGTTTCCACTACAAAATAAAGTGGTCGGAAATTGGTAATTTGGCCAATTTAACCCGTAAACGGTCCAAGCAGATCTACGTTCACATGTGTAATGCTCCAAAAGTAGATCTATTTTTTTTTACATATTTTCAAATATAACAAAAAAAAAGTATATCAAAGTTTTTTTACACATTTTCAAATGTAAAAAAGAAAAAAGAAGATCTACTTTTTTGACATACTTTCAAATGTTAAAAAAACGTATATATACTTTTGGACCGTTTACGGGTTAATTCAAAGTTCAAAATACTCCAATTTTAAAATAGGGTCTAGAATAAACAATGCAGGCATTCCTGGCACTAAACTAACATTTCCTCTGTTCATTAGTTACATTTTCAGGCTTTACTAGTGAATTCCATTTTGATTTTTTATTCACATAATGAATTTTTATTCAAACCAAAAAATAGAAGATCTACTGTTATGCAATATTGTAATAATTGTATAAATAATGTCACCACATTTGTGAACATATATTAGACCCACCAGCAGGCATGTATTAGATGTGTGAGGTCATTTATTTACTCTTGAACATCGGCAAAAATTTAACATTTCCGCTACTTTGAGCTCAGTTTCAAGCCATTTCCAGTATTAAAACCAATCAAAATTATCTCTATTTCTGTAATATATCTTCCATTCT